GATCAGATTAACCCTCTCTGTTGCTCTTTCTTTTCCCCATTCCCCCTACTTTTAACAGGTTTTAGTGGATTTTGTCACGCCCACTTCATACATAGACAATACTTTCTTATTATTTACCCCCATCATTCTTTCTCTCTCCCACAATTGCATTCACATGTGTGTGAATGGATATATGTAAATATACACAAGTTTTTAAGGTCTAGATTCTACATGTAAGATAAAACATTCAATATTTGTCTTTCTGACTTATTTCACTTATCATGATTATCTCCTGCTCCATCCATTTTCCTGAAAATGACATATTTCTTTTTTTGGAGAGGGGACAGTATTGGGAGTTGAACTCAGGGCTTTGCACTTGTTAGGCAGGCCCTCTACCACTTAAGCCATGCCTCTAGCCCTTTTTGCTCTAATTATTTTTGAGATAGGATTTCACTTTTTGCCCGGGCTGTCCTGGACTGTGATCCTCCCATTTATGCTTCCCACAATATCTGGGTTAACAGGTGTGAACCACCATACCTAGCTACTGGTTGAGATGGTTCTTGCAAACTTTTTGCCTGAGCTGGCCTGGAACCACAGTCCTCCTGATCTCTGCCTCTGTAGTAGCAAGGATTACTGGTATGAACAACCAGTGCCTGGCTAACTTCCCATTTTATGGCTGAATAATACTTCAATGTATATGTATACCCCATTTTTTTTTTATTCATTGATCAGTTGAAGGGCACCTAGGGTGATTCCATGACTTGGCTATTGTGAATAGCCCTCACCGATTTATTAAAACTTATATATAAAGTTTACTCTTTGTACTGTAAAGTTCTATGACATATCCGAATAGATTTTTTGTTCTCCCATAATAATGACCTGTTCCTAAAACTATTTTGACACATCCTAGTAAACCCAATGTTAGAGTTTTTTTTAAGTTATAAAATGGTAAAAGTTCACATTGAGTATTCAGGACATTTAAACATGCTGATAATTATCCTTATAGCTGATCACTCATCAATTCACAGTAGAGCTTGATTTACTCTGGGCATTAAAACCTTTGAAGTAAAGCCTGCTGTAGTGTAGTAAACACTCACTAGGCACCACTTATACGCCACACATTGAAGACGCACAGAAGACCATGTGCAAGCAGAGTGGAGAGCTCATTGAACCATCTCAGTGGGACTGGGATGTGTTCATGCCTGAATTTAGCTTAGAAGATGAGTTAGCCAAGGACAGGCAGACAATAGAAACAAATCTTCCAGGGAGAGAGGGCAGACTAAAGTCACCAAGGGTTTTATAGTATATGAAACTACTGTTAAGTTAAATGTTGCTAGAGTCAGAATGGGGTATAGGGTGTGATTTTCAAGTTCAGTCAGAGAGGTAGAAAAGTACCAAATAATGAAGGCCTTTAAGCTACAGTAAGGAGCTTTCAGTTTATCCTGAAGGCAACAGGGAGCTACTGAAGGTTGAAAGCAGAGAAGTGACATGGTCAGATTTGTGTCTGCAAGAGGTCACTTTGTAGGTGTGAAGAGTGAATATAAAGGAGACAGAACTAGATACTGGGAGACCAGCCAGAAGACTTGTTCAGGTAATAGAGGAAGCAGACCCCCTGGACAGTCACACAAAGGACAGAAAATATTTGGGACATGTTTAGCAGGTGCAATAGAAAGGATCTAGATTGAGCATGAGGGAGAATGAGAGAAAGGAGTCCAGGATGACCATGGAGTTTCTAAGATAATAAATCAATGTCTATAATGTCACTCATTTCAGGTCAATGATACACAGAAAGGTGATGATCTCAACTGGTACCCAGGTAGAACTATCCAACAGGATGTTGGATAAATAAGTTACTGAGTAAAGAGTTTAGATTTATTTATTTAGGATAATTCTGTAAATGGGTGGTGATTATAATAATGGTCAGAGATAAGAGAATTATGCAGAGTGAAGCAGAATCCTCTGGACCACTTGCAAGAAAGGAATGGGAAGGGAAGGGAAGGGAAGAGAGTGAAAGGGAAACCAGAGAAAGATCATCTTACAAAAGGCCAGAGGACCGAGGACAAAAGACTGTCAGCAATGACAGACACAATAAGGATTCCCCTTCTGTGATTTAAGTGTTTTGCAGTCCCTGAAGCATGAAGTGTAGGCTGTACTTTGCCTTTTAAAAAGAAATGTATACAGAGGTAATTTGAAATATGCAGAAATTTTTGGGAACTTTGCATAATCAAAAGCCATTACTTTATGGTAATAGAAAAAATGAATGGTGTGGGAAATTAATACAAGATCCACAAAATATGATGAAGTAATTTCAGCTCGTAAAATTAAAAGCATGAAAAAATCGACCCAGGAAAAACATAGTGTCAGTTTAAAATATTCAACAAAAGTTATAAAAACAAACAGTGGCTAACACTATAACACTATGTAAAACTTGCTGTTGACTAATAATTGACACACAAATCAAATCTTCTCAATAAAATACAGACCTTAAATACTGATCAAAAAAAAATTGGATTTGATAGAGTAATGACCATTGAAGCCTTTGAAAGAGGATAGGGACAAAAAAATGTTATATCAAGTCTTTGCTATAAAATGTACATGGGGAATAATTGGATAAGTGATAAATAATTTTAGTAAAATAATAATGAAAATTTTAAAAAGTTTAACTGAAATGCATGGGAAATTAATCAAGGAATTATCTTGCTAGAATTAACTCTAAGAATACTTTTTAATGAAAATTCATCCATATTCACATTTTTTTTTTGGGGTGGGACTGGAGTTTGAACTCATGGCTTTACACTTGCAAAGTAGGCACTATCTGCTTGAACCAAACCTCCAGTCCATTTTGCTCCGATTATTTGGAGATGGAATCTGGTGAACTGTTTTCCCCGGCTGGCTGCAGACCATGATCCTCCGTGATCTCAGCCTCCCAAGTACTAGTAATACAGGCATGAGCCACTGGAGCCCAGCTCATATTCACATTTTTTATTAAACTGTTCAATAGAATCAGAACATTGTCAGGATTAAAGAAAATAAGTGAAGACAAAATATCCATGACCTTTGGACTTCATAAGACTGTCTATAGCAATGGAGAGCCTGACTACAGTGTCAATGTAGTGATGGCCCTCAGCTCAGACCCCCAGGGCCTGAGCCCCTGATGGTGGCAAAGAATGCCTGATTGATGAAGAGAAAAAGTAACCCTTTTTCTGGAAGGCCCTTGATAAATACTTCATTTATTGATTTATTCACTTTATATCAACTTGTCCCAAATACAAATCTAAGACAACTAAAGAAAAGACAGATATAAAATTAAATTTCAAGTAAACAAGCAAAGAAATTACTGTTTTAAGGACTGTTGTGATTTATCCATCTATAAGTATACCAGAAATTATTGCAACAATTGCTTTTTCCAGGTCTCTGGTACACTACTAATAGCTTGTTTCTAGGACTAAAATATTAAAAACAAAAATACTTGTTTGAAATTTCTTCCCAAACACATCAGCTCTAACCCACATTTAGATTCACTCAATCCACTGCTTCACTTCAGTTACTTTGAGGTAAATATCTTGCTGTGCATTTTCTTGTCTGGACTCACTCTTATATTCTTGCCCTTCTATATGAGTTGAGAATTCTTAAAATATGTCTACTGTGCCCCAGAAGTGGCATAAATCTGGAGTATTTTTTCCAGATTTGTGGAGTGACTATCTCATCAAATCTTTGGTCTTTGATAGAATCCAAGAGGCCAAAGATATCCATTAAATATATAAGAAATAATTAAATTTTAAAGTAAAATGACAAAAGTTGCAACCAGTACACCAACAAGGTAGTAGTTGTGTAAAATTAGAAAGGTATCAAAGGTTTCCTATTTTTAATAAACTAATTTTAAAAAGCGGAAGATGCTAAAACAGGAGGACAAAACAACACTAAAAACTGAAACTACATCTTATTTCTGGTTCTGTTTCCCAAGTCCCCAAATCAGAAAGTTTCTGTGTCATGTACATACATAGACACTTCATAATTTCTATAGTAGTCCATGTAAAGCTCATGTGGATAGTCAGTTACCCTCTGGTGAGCCCTGGCACTGTGCCTTATGCCACAGGACATATAGGAAACTCAGCCTGTGCTCCCAGAGACTGTGTCACCATCCTGTAGCCTTTCCCCGTTATATGTTAATCATGATAGCAAGAAAAATGCCTGGAAATAAGTGCATAGCACCATGTGGAGTGAGTGTAGAGGATTTTCTTAAAAGTGCTGAATACTGTTTGAATTAAACAGCCTAGTTCATGGATGCCCCAATGAACAAGAATGTTCCTAATTAATAGCTCTTCTTTATAAATAGCACAAAACCCACTTATCTAATGATTACTTTTGTACTCCTACTATGTGTACTAGATGTGTAGTGATGTGCAGGTAGAATGTAGTGATGAACAAAGAGACAAGGACTCCTCCCCATAGCATATGTTCTAATGGAGAGAAAATAATTGCTTTTTGTGACAAAAACTATTGAAGAGAAATGATGAAGAGAAAGAAGAAGGGCTGATGGGATAAGCTATAGATTGAAAGAAGTCTTCTCAGAGAAAGTATCATTTAAGATGAAACCAGGTGAATGGCTAGGAGCCAGCCAAGAGCCAGGTCAGAAGAACTTTCCCAGCTCAGAAAACAACAAGCACAGAAGCAGGTCAGGATGTCTGCTAGTCAAAGGAGGAGGTGGAAGTGGGGGGAGATCATGGAGAGCCTAGGAGACCTTGGCACTGACTTCAGCATTTTTTCTATGGAGAGTGGAATCTTACTCCCTGTGGTTGCTGGGCAAAGAATAGGTTGAGATGAGATGCTACACAAGATGTAAGCTCAATCCAGGCACACTAAAATTAATATGGAATGGACCTAGGACTACTGAAATAAGTACAAACATCAGTACAAACTTTATGTTATATGTATTTTCCCACAATAAAAATCACTAATAAAGACAGGAAGTGGTATTCCTTAAACACACCTTGCCGTGAATACTGTTCCTCCTATCTCAGACCAACAGGAGCACCAGGGAGCAGCGAGCAGTACAACGTGGGAATGGTTGGGACCCATGGGCTGGAGACCTCTCATGCGGACACTTTCAGCAGCAGTATTTCAAGAGAAGGGACCTTGATGATTAGAGAGGTAAGTTGGTGTTATGAAGAGGAAGATTCTTAAGTGGCTTTTATATTAGAGCTTTCACAAAGAATGCTCTTACAGAGTGTATTTTAAGCATGAAAACTAAGGGGAAAACTAAATGGTTGAGTGATTTTAATTGTCTGCCACCTTCTTTCCTGTATTCTTCTAAGCTTTTGCTGTGTGACTTAATTATATTAGCCCTTTAATTATATTAGCACAGATTCTTTAGTAAGAACTATGCAAGTTTTGAGCCTGAGGATATAAAACCCAAAAGTTAGATGTTCCCTGCAAAGGAAAACAGAAATGAATGATCTCTCTTAATAGCATCAGTGGTTTGGTTAGCCTCGCCCCAACCCCCATGGTTTTATCATGTAAAAAATACTCAGGAGCTTGTGCTATCCTCTGTCATGAAATTAACACTTTAAAAAAAAAAGCAGAAAGCTATTTTGGTGAAAGAACAAAGAAACATGTAGATGGTTTACTTAAAAGTGCACCTTAACTCTTTGGTGTCATGGATTTGGGGAGCCCCAGGTTGGTGAAAGAATTTATCAAGATTGATAGTAGGAGAAAGCAAAGATTTATTAGGACACCATTAAAAGTAGAGAAAATGGCAGGTGGCTAGTCAAAGGAGTGTAGAGAACAGATTTTATACCTCAGGTTAGGCCACTTTTAATTAGTTGTCTCCCTTTCTGTAAACCTTATTGATTGGTTGTCTCTTCCTCTGACCAAGTTTGAACTTCTCTTGTGGGACCATCTCTGGAAATTTGGCTTTTCTTTCCATGTTCTATGTCTGCCCCCACCCCAACCCACAGCAGACCTGATCCGTCTCCCACATTCTGTCTGTTCCTTGATATTCTTTTGTCTGCCATGTCTCCCTAAAATAGGGGTGCCCTCCACATGTGGGTAATTTTTTTAAAGTCTAGGAATATTATTTCATTGGCTGGAAGCACCTGTTCTCTTGTACCTTTCCTTCCTGCATGTAGTAATTCCCCATCGTGTCTGTGCTAGCCAAAGGGCCCTGACAAACCAGAATTCATAGTCTTTTTTTCACTTGTCATCACCATGCAAATTTGAAAACAGGTCTTTATTTGAAAGAAAAGTAATGTCCAGTAACACTGGGCAAATGTTATGTAACTTCTTCCTGCCTCTGTTTTATCATCTATAAAATTTCAGAAATAATAGCATATGACTTCTAATATGTTGAGAATTCTAATAACTTAAAGTGTTCAATAAACATTATTTTATTTTATTTTCAGTCTCTCCATAAATTGAATTCTCCTTTTACTTCTTATCACAACTCACTCTTCCTTCTAAAGCCAAAACACATATCATCTGTCATTCTTCCTCTTCAACCAGAATTGATCTGAGAAACGCCAAGAGCTGACTTTGGTCTCCAAAAAGGCAGAGGGCATCTTTCTTTTGAAAGGAAGAAAGAATTGTAGTTTAGAGACGAATAAGGCCTTTGAAGTAATAATTGGCAGTGGGGCTATAACAAGAAGACTGGTTCACAAAGCAACTTGCTAGAATTTTATTTTATGTCCTCGCCGAATCTTTCAAGTAAGCTTTAAAGAATCCTTTCACATATGCCTGGAATGAAAAATAGACTTGGCTGCTGGAGTTGACATTGTGTAGCTCTGGTATATAAATCTCCCAGTGTGGTGAATGGATCATTTCAATAGAAGTGTAGAGAACTTCTGTGACTACAGCTTGCCACTTGAGAAAACATAGGAAAAATGTTCTGGAGTGAGTTACTCTTTAACTCCAAATGAAAGGACTCTAATTCCTGATGTGGCTTAAAAGTTTCCCAAGCCTTTATGACAGTCAGTACCTCCAAGGAGACATTGTTGTCACATTTTCAATTCAGTTGCCAGCCACATCCCCATGGTTCCATATGATCTAAAGTTCTCCAGTATTCTACAACCATAGCCAATCACTTTGAAAATTGCATCTACTGGTATCTTATATGAATTTAATCCATCAAGGGACCCTCAAATTGTTTTGTCCTCTCAGTTTCCAATTTTGGCCTTTTCCAAATATGAGTTTTTAAATAAAACCATAAACTATATTAGTTAAGGTTCACATGAGAAATAGAATATTTTTGTATTTGGAGAGAGGGGAGATTATGAGAAAGTGGATCATGTGATTGTGGACACCAAAAGTCCAGCCATTGACCATTTGCAAGCTGGAAACCCAGGAAAGGTGGTGGTATAAATCCCAGTGCTAGGGTAGGTGAAAAATGAAATGAGATGTCACAACTCTAGTAGTGAGGTAAAAAAGGTGGGGGTGGGGGAATTCTTTCTTCTGCATTTTGTTCTATTCATGACCTCAGTAGGATAGTTAAAGCCTAGCAGATTGAGAGTGATAATCTACTTTACTTACTGAGTCCACCAATTTGAAGGCTAATATTATCCCCAGAAACACTCCAAGATAATGTTTAATCTGAGCCCACATTGCCCAATCAGGGTGATACATAAAATAAACCATTACACAATCCTTGAGTTAAAATCTATTGAAAGTACATATATTAAAAAGAAAAATGCAGACTAAAGTGTATCCTTAACAAAATAAGAAAAGAAAATAAAAACTCATTATGATAAAATTTAGCAGATTGGGTATTATTCAGTTTCCCAAGGTGAACACCAGTTACTCGCTCAACTCATTCCCATGTGAATGAGCTCCATGGTCCACAGACCATACTGGTTCTGCTACTCGTGGTCTTGTCAGATGCACAGATTCTCCCTTGCAGTACATAATGTTCTCCCTATAGCGCTACTTTTCCCATCCTACAGCTCCCCAGGTCCCCTTTCTATTCTATTCTAGAATATTCCACACCAGCTGTGATCAGCCATTTTGTCCACAGGGGCCCATGTGCGGGAAGTGCTGTTCTGCCTTACTTGTTCTTCACCCAGCAGATCTCTGTGGGTCTAGACCAGTCTTCTCTTTCTCCTGAAAACCTCCACTGAACTTAGTGGGCTCTGTCCATGGCACCTTCCTGGATCAGCTGGCATCTCTCTAAATGTCTGTCCATGCCTGAACCAGAAAACTCGCTATATCATCAAGTCTTTTTTGGTTACAAAACATGAGAGAAAGAACCCACTTTAACATAGCTTAAGGGGAAAAAATGTGGGAGAATGGTAGGTATCAGAAATAAGGGAGTTAAGATTCAGAGGTATTCAAGGAATATGAGTCAGGTTACAATAAAGGTTCCTGCACACCCATGTTTATTGCAGCACTATTCACCATAGCCAAGCTGCAGAAACAGCCAAGATGCCCCACTACTGATGAATGCATCAAGAAAATGTGGTATTTATACACAATGGAATTTTACTCAGTCATAAAGAGAATGAAATTTTGTCATCTGCAGGTAAATGAATGGAACTGAAGAACATCATCTTAAGTGAAGTTAGCCGGGTTCAGAAGGCCAAAAGTCACACATGTTCTCTCATATGTGAAATACAGACCTAATACAAGCACAGCAATATTATGGAAAATAGGTCACTCTAAGGGGAGGTCACATACAAGAGAGGAGGGTAACAGAAAAAGTTAAGAAGGTGACTATGGTTGATGTACTTTCCATATAAGAATGGATATCGAATTTTTAAACCTGTTGAAATCACCATAAAAAAGAGACTAAGGTAGAAAGAAGAAAAATAGAGGAGCTGAACCAATTCAGGTTATTATATATATATGAAAGTGTCACAAGGAAACTCCCTCTATAGCTATCTTAAACTAACAAAAACATCATTTTTTTTCTTTTACAAAATCAGAAAACAGGAGGATAGAACCAATGGGAAAAGGAGGGTGTGGGGAAAGACCATGGGAAGGTAAATATGGTGCAAATATTGTGTACACATGTGTACAAATTTAAAAATGAGACCTGTTGAAACTACTCCAGGAATGAGGAGAGGGGAGATAAAGGAGAATGATGGGGGTGTGTATTATAAGAACTTTGTAAATGCCACAATATATCCCCAGCACAATAAAAAAAAATAGTAAAAAAAGAAAAGGAAAAAAAAAAGATTCAGAGGTATTTCATGGGAGAAACCCAAAAATAGAAGGTGAGTGGGCCCCCATGAGGACTGGAACCAGAAGCTAAGAAGTGACAAGAGGTTAGGCAGCTTTGCATGTGCATTTCACTCATGTCTCTCCTTTTCTCACCTCTGCTTTCCTCCTCATCTCTCTCTCTCTCTCTCTCTCTCTCTCTCTCTCTCTCTCTCTCTCTGCATGCTTGTGCTCTCACCTCTCCTCCCTCCATTGCAGGATGGTCTCCACTTCTTAGCTCAGGCCTTGTTGTTAAATTTTAATGGGAATTTGATATCATTTAGCTCATGTATCCACTCCTGGTCCAACCAGGAGCTGAATTCCCTAGTATAACAATACAGCCTAAAGCACCTGGGCTCTGCCTCCAGACAGCTCAGAGTTGATCCTGGATTTCACCACTTAGAGCTTTTGTCACTTGGGACAAGTTAAGTGACTTTGTTGTACTGCAGTTTTTCCTCCTGTAAAATGGGGATGGAGCTAGCTCATGGTGCTATTTGAGGATTCAAATGGAAGACCATACACAAAGTGTTTTAGCACAGTACCTGGCATATGTTTGTTTGCAGAACATTTTATGCCCATCCTCATGGAAATGGTGAAAGCAGAAAAATCAGACACTGTTGGGGTTCTGTTAATGAGGTCCTAACGGGCAGGACTGTTGTTCATTTATCTTTGTGCTTACATTAGAGTGTCTGGCTCAGGGAATGTTCTAATACACAGGTGCTGGTTGAATGAACCAAGGGGTGATGACTCAGAAGTGGGCAGATTCAGGGGTCATTACTTCACACTTCTCACTGTCTGGGTTACTTCCTCTGGTTAGCCTCTTCAGGTCTTTTGTTATTGTTGTTGTTAATCAATGTGTCTGCATCAGCGTTTGGCTTGGAGAAGAATGCTACTGATACAAGAGAAAGTGAAGAATTCTAAAACAGAAGGTGTGATTTTTGCTATTGAGGAATTGGGGAAAGTGTTAAAATGCTTTTCAGTAGAAGTTAGAGGGAAAGAAAAGCTGCCTAGTACGCATAAAAAGCAGGGCCAATAAGATAAATTCAGACTGAACTCTCTAAATATCATTTAGAAAGTGAAATGTTTAACTCAGAATAGGCACTAGTACAAGCTCCAGAAGAGCACTGTGACCAGATGAATCCAGAAGTCCCTTTCTGGGACAGTTTGTAGTTCAGAATCATGTTGCCTAGAAACAGAACACTAGGCTTTCCAATTATTTCTCAAGTTTCTTGGTGACCATCAGTTGAACCCCTTCAGGAACTTAGGAGTCTGTTTCGTCACACACACACATGCACATGCACACAAACTTATCTACTTTTACTTCCTGACAGAGACAAGTGCAGTGCTGTAACTATAAGACCAAGATAGGCTCTGGAAGAGAGAAGCCTCAGGGAGATGGTCAAAGACATAGCATGAACTCTTGCCCACACCAGTCCCAAAGTGGTAGGAAGTGTGCCTGACTTGTTCCTAGCTGTTCCATGTTCAGAAGAATGGAGGGGGAAGATAAATAGATGGAAAGATAGGAAGGAACAAAGGAAGGAAGGGAGGGAGGGAAGAAAGAGAAAGAGATGGATGGAAGGATGGATGGAGAGAGATGGAAAGAAAGAAAGAAAGAGAAAGAAAGAAAGGGAAATCATTGCTTAGTCAGATCTGCTCTAAGACTGCTTAGTCAACTAGTCACATGCTAAATCAAAAAATGCAGGACTATGCACAGCAAACTCATAATCAACAGTGAAGAGACAACTATCAGAATGGGAGAAAATAAAAATATTTGCAAACTATGCATCTAGCAAGAGGTTAAAATCAGAATATATAAGGAGCTCAAAAAACTGAATAGCAAAACAACCCATTTTTTAAAATAAGCAATAGCTCTAAATCAACAATTCTCAAATGAAGACATACAAAGGCCTACCAGACATATGAAAAAATGCTATAATCATCAAGGAAATGCAAATCAAAACCACAATGAAATGTTACCTTACCCTGTAAGAATGATTATTATCAAAAAGATAAAAGATAAGAAGTATCCTTATCTTATCCTGGTGAGGATGTGGAGAAAAAGGAAACCCTTGCACACTGCTGGTGGAAATATAAATTAGACCAGTCATTATTAAGGAACACAGAATGGAGGTTCCACCAAAAATTAAAAATAGAATATCCATATGGTGAAATAAAAACAACTTAAATTCACTGATGAATTAAAAAAAATGTGGTACATATGCACAATGGACTATTCAGCCATGAAAGAAGGAAATCCTGTCATTTACGACAACATGGGTAGAACTGACGATCATTACGGAAAGTGAAATAATCCGGGCACAGACAGAGAAGTACCACATGACTTCATTCACATGGGGAATGTCAAAAAGTTGATCTCATAGAAGTTGAGAGTAGAATAGTGGTTATCAAAGGCTGGGGAAGGAGGAGGGATGGGGAAGGTTGGTTAATGCATAGTAAGTTACAGTTGCATAGGAGCCAGGAAAAAAGTGCAAGACTAGCCAGTCCTACAATGTGAACGCTGGCTTTTGGGGACCAGAGTTGTCTTTTTATCCCATCTCAGGAAGCTGCTCTCCAGAGCAGTGGTTTCCAAATTCATTAGGTCATGCCACCCTTTCACTAGAAATTTTAGAGCACACACATACAGCATACATACTGCGGTCCCACTGCATGAGTATGAACAGAATAAAATACCTTTAAAGAATTTTTATAAGGATGATGTAAAGAATATTTCTAATCCTTTACCAGTCACAATGACTTCATTTCTTTACCGCCTACCACAAAGCACCCTAGTTACTTATTGAAAGATTGAGCCTTAATGATAGTGGATATAATCCATATTTTCAAATAGTCTTCTACTTCATTGTATTGTTTCTTTGGAATTTCAGTCAGATAACTGATCAAGTTAATCATTGTTTCGACCTTGTGAATGACAAACAGCCCTTTAAGTTGGGTATCAACTCTGCATTTTCTTGGAATATAGTTGTACAGAGATTATTAGTATTATCCCATTCTTCTGCTTCTTTTCAGCAACTTTAGGTTGCATATCTGCTTTGTGGGTTTGTGTTCTTGTAATTTGGCAATAAGGTTGTATACCCAATTGACTGATAGTGTGCATGTACACACACACACTGAACGAGAAATATGCCATTGTAGGCCCTGCTCAGCCCTCTGCCTTGTGACATCCCTGTCTCCCTACAGGGGATGCACACATAACCATGTATGGCTTCTGACTGTCCCTTGTATGCAGAAGCATACAGCTTCAGGGTCAACCATTTACTAAATATTAATAAAGCTTAATGTCTTTTTAAATTTTCTTAGGTAAAATAGAAATTTCAATGTTCCCTTCTTAGACTGCACTGGATCCGCTTGGAGTCCCCTTCATCTATGTATAAAAGAAGTAATGTTGCTCTATGGTTTCTTCCTCCTTCTCTAATGGTCCCCATGTATTGTGCCCCTCAGACAGCTGGAGAGAAGAAGCGATCCGGCCACAGTGACAGCAATGGCTTTGCTGGCCACATCAACCTCCCAGACCTGGTGCAGCAGAGCCATTCCCCTGCTGGGACACCCACTGAAGGCCTGGGGCGTGTTTCCTCCCATTCTCAGGAGATGGACCCCGGGACTGAAGTAGGTGCTGGGCAGCAGAAAAGACAGTTCTGTTTTTCATGGGTTCTGAATCCTGCCCTCTTCAAGAATGAGGTTTTGCCACACACCCTGAAAAATGTTTGGTTGGCTTCTACCGTACAGCTGCTTATATAAATATGCAAACAGAAATCACAGACACAGAGCAATGACAAGTTCTCAGATATCATCTGGGCCAGTTTTATAGATGAGAGTTCAGGTAGGTTCAGTGACCCACCAAAAGCATACAGCTGTTCTGTGACAGAGCTTGAACCTGAACTTAGACCTATGTCACAGTGCATAGGTCTAAGTCATAGAAACTTCAGACGTTGAGATTTCAAGGCCAACAGTTAAGGTTCATATTTACATTCAGTCAAACTTAGTTTGACTTAAATAAAATGAAATTGAAGTGATTCATTTATGAATCATAAAAATTAATAGATAGATTCTCACACCAAATTGCAATGAAACATTTCCAGGAAAGAGCCTGAATGAACACAAGTGATTAAGCAGAGATTATAGATGTCATTGACTGATTGTACGAGTTCAAGAGCATGATCATGTTTCACGAATAGGCCCTCATATATCATGCAAGGCTCTAAATGTTTTTTATAAAGAACGGGCACTGTTGTTTTGACAGTGCCCACATACTGAATCTTTATGATGCACCTTTTGGATTCTACAGTTGTACAGCAGATGAGCTTTGCATCCCCCAAGGAAAAGAGCACAGGGGCCTATTGGAAATTATAGCATCCTATGGTAACTCTGTGCAGTTTGGGCAGAGAGTTTCTGCCTAAAAACCTTTATCAGCACCAAAGAGGTCTCCACAGGATGGAATCCTGATCCAGATTCTCCTGCTGACCCAGCTATAAGTAGGGATGTTAGTACCTGTCCCACCTCCTTCATGGACTTCTAACGATCCAAGAAGAGAATGAATATGAAATTGCTATCACTGGGAGAGGTGATCCCACCTTGAGGGTGAGATGATTTTGATTTCACAGCCTGGAGGGAAAATCTTGAATTAAATAATCTTTGTGTTTTTTTATTTGTTTAGTGGTATTGGCATGTTGGTTTATTTTTTAATAAAAATCTAAAAGGAAAACTAAAAACCTTTAGTTAAAGACATTTATCTCCCTCCATGGGCAATTATTACATTGTATACAGGTGTGTTTGTGATGTTAAATGGATGAATATGAGAAATGATGATGACAGACAAAATGGGGTGATGATTATTGAAACTCTTTTGGAAAAATTCAGATCTGGAACACTGCAGCATAAATAAGCCCTGAGTGTATCATTCCCATGCCTAGTTCTAGCTTCATGTCTTCATGGTGCTGTCCAGGCCATGGAGATTTATTTTTAAGTAAGCCCTCCAAATACATTACCCTCAAACCCGAAATTTTCAGGAAGTCTCCATGTAAAGCTCATAAATATAGCATCCTTTCCACCATGGGAAGGAAAATCAATTCCTGGATGAATTCATTCCTGAATTACAGATTTTAAAGCTTTTGGAGCTAGCATCAGTTCATTGGACCGTCAGGCCAGAGTGGAAAGGCCCCAATGCACTTCCTTCCAAGAAGGAATCCCTTGGGTTGACTGTGTGTTCAGGATGAAATGCTACTATGTAGATAAGCTTACCTAGATTTTCCTTTTCTTAAGTTCATTTGATCAGTGTGAGATTGCTTTGGCTTAAACGTGGAGATAAATTCTGTCACTACACTACAATTGCCTTACACATATTAGGTGGCAAGTGTTCAAAATGCAGTTTTCTTGCTGCAACTCTTCATCAATAAATGAAGCCCTACAAATGCCCTCTGGCTAGTGAGAAACCAATGCCAGCAGAAACTGAAGAGAGGCACATGCTTTTGACCAGAGGGTTGGAATACAAACAGCTGAATAAATTGAGGGGTCTGCAATCATCATAAATCCCAAGAAAGAAATCGTTAGCATTGTTTGTTCCTGCAGTATTTTTTTCATCTGCTCATCTTAGTCTTGTTTATTGATTAGTATGGCATGGGGAGCACCACCAAAGCCTCCTTCACCCCCTTTGTGGACCCCAGAGTATACCAGACGTCTCCCACTGATGAAGATGAAGAGGATGAAGAATCATCAGCTGCGGGTAAGCTAGAAGGTCCCAGTGTTTCAAAAACAGCTTGCTTTCCTTTCTGGTTTTTCCTGATAAAGAAATTCATCATTAGTTCAGAAGTTAAGCCATTTAATATTTAAGCCCTATCTTATAAGGAGGATTTTTTTTTTAATTGTGAGATTCCTAAAACAAATTTCTTTCTTTTCCTTTTTTTCCCTCCATCTTTTCTATTTTGCTTCTGTTAGGAAGCCAGAGGTATCCAGGGACCCTAGAAAAGGCTGCTCCTGAGCGATCGCCAAACTTAGCACGTTTCCCAAAAACAATTTCTGGGTACAATGCTATGCACGCAATAGACACTTATTAAGTGTGTGTTGAGTTGTGTTGAATTCCAGATGTGTGCTTCCTACCACAAAGGTCTGGCTGATTTAGAGGAATAGCGCTTTCTGGCCTTCTGCAAGTCACTAGTCATTAAAGTCAGCTTAGGCCAACTTTTCAATTAATAATATGGAATTTCAAAAAGGGAATCTTTCTCGCATACATTTACAAGGGTTGTGGATGGCCTATTTGATTTTATTGGATGAATATTGATTTTCTAAACCATCCAAGTAGTGTCTGGAGGCCTGTTTTGCTAATGAATAAAATACTGCTTCTATGAATGACTTATACTTTATCCTACTACAAAAAAAGTATAAAATAAATATAGTTTCACAGTTTCTGTGCCTTTTCTATAAAACACACTAAACAAGGAGAAATAGTGTTTTGATGCCCCTTCTCCATATCTCTACTGGTTACCTTTTAAGATGCAATTGACTTCTCTGGTTCTTTTTCTCAAAGCTCTGTTTACTAGCGAACTTCTTAGGCAAGAACAGGCCAAACTCAATGAAGCAAGAAAGATTTCAGTGGTGAACGTAAACCCAACCAACATTCGGCCTCATAGTGACACACCGGAAATCAGGAAATACAAGAAACGATTCAACTCAGAAATACTTTGTGCAGCACTGTGGGGTATGTTGGTGTTGGTTCTTTTTTTTTTTTTCAATCATTAATGAATTGGCTCCCCAACATGAAAAAGTCTGAAGATCTCATCATCAGAAGTCACTAGTTGAATCCTTGATGTTAGAAACCTCAGACCTGACTTGGACTGTCTTAACCTCAGAGAGACAAAAAACAGGTTTATATGTGAAAGCTTATGATGCCGTAATAACAAGGACAACATCTACAGTGTAGACTTAAAGCAACAGCAGAACTCGCTACCACTCAGTGCACACCCACTATGCTTCTAGCACTTTGATGAACCTCACATTGTCTCTGATTCATACGTCCTACACGGAGAATGCTGGTAGTATCTTATCTTCATTTCACAGATGAAAAACTTGCCTAGCATATTTCAGTGACTTGCCCAAGGCCATACCATCAAAGTAACCAGGTAAAAGTTGAGAAGAACAACAAATGATGAGTCCTCCCGTTGAGTTCAAAACATCACTATGCAGTTCTCAGGAAAAAGGCTAGCAGATTTTAGCTAACCTCAAACTCAGTATTAGGCGTGATGAGATTCTACCAAAGTCCTGTTCTGTGTTACTAGTAACATTCTGGGCGGGTCAGGGTATGGGTCATCTGTAGCCATCTAAAATACTAGAGTAGGATTGAAGCACCATAATTTGAGAGGCTAAAAGCTTTTGAGACGTTAGAAGAGTATGAAGCCTGTAGATCACTTCCTGAGCAGTGTGATGGTTCTGTCCTCTGGAGACGAGACAGAGGCGATCAACACAGCCATATTTAATACCGAAAGGGTTGACATGTGGATGAAAGGCAGACACTTATGTTCTCAGAAGATACAAGTTCATAAAGTACAATATATGTACAGGTAAAATACCAAGGCAAAACCTACTGAACAATGAGCAGACACTAAAACGATGATGTACAGAAATGTAATATAGGTCATGTTAAGGGGAGGGTGATAGCATAGGAGGGGGAGGATAAATGAAGAGGGTAAAGGAGGGTGACTATGGTTGAGGTACTTTCTATACATGTATGAATATGGAACACTGAAACCTGTCAAAGTCATTTCAAGAAAGGCTGTGGGAGAAGAGGGAGATTAATGGAGAGGATGAATCAAACCGGAGTACAATATACGTATATATGGAAATGTCACAGTGAACCCCCCTGTATAACTATCATATACTAATAAAAACATTTACAAAAAGAAAGGAGGGGAAATTCTATGGTTGGGTATCTCAATAAATATTATCTATAGGATGACAGATTAAAATGAGGATTAAACTATAATTGGTAAAGAAGTAGCAATCACTTGTTTTAACCGAAAGAAATGATTCAGCTCTGAAATACTTTGTGCAGCTCAGTATTTTGTAAGTGGCATCATGACTTTGTTTTTGTCTGTGTTTAAACAAAACCATGAAGTGACCTTAATTTTCCAACTGTGAAGTTAGAAAAAAGATAAAAGTTCAACAAATAAGTCAGAGAGTTACACGTTCATAAATATAGTCTTATTCATAATAATGAAGATGCATAATGAACATCTTGAAGAATGTATGTTGCAGTGGGTAGATGATTAATTTCCTTAGGTATAAGTTTTTAGAATTATAGCTATTCAGACAAGATCACTTACCTGACAGCACTTTTGTTATAATGATTACTGTATGACAGGTGGGCCACGCTAGAATTAGATACCTCATCAGCATCATACAGCCACAAAGTTTCTGATGACTCTTAAAACCCATGAACACCTTGGACTGGTTTAACATTTCCCTAACAGATCTGAGCCATGAGTGTATGGGGACATAAGGTAGTTAAATTTTAGTGTGAGAGGAGGAAGGACTTTTCTTCTGATGTAGTATGGAAATGGAAACTCTGTTGTTTTATGTTGAATGTACATAGGTTAAGGCCCTAAGAAGTCACTGCTAAAGTAGGTGTGGGGTTGAACCTTGGAGCGGGAAAGAAATGGGATGTATAGGGAGAGCCAGGAAACAGGTGGTGTTTACAGAAAGGGAATGAAGACGAATTATGCTTTCTTCACAGCTCTGCCTAAGGCTCCTCTTGACACACACTGTCTGTACTAGGTAGTAAATAGCTAGATGTAATGAGCACTGCTGCCACTTCATAAAAGAAAATTGTAATTCCATTACCAGAGTAACAGTGATTTAATTACTATGTTAGCACTTCTACTTCTATACTTCCTGCCGTAGTACCTACTTGCCCACTGGTTTATATTTATAAGGAATAGTTTCTTAGGTTTTTTGGGGACTCAGATGTAAAAGGTTAAAGCCCATAAAAAAGTCAGTCTTAGGATGCTTCTTAAATTTCCAGGTGTAAACCTTTTGGTGGGAACTGAAAATGGCTTGATGCTTTTGGACCGAAGTGGGCAAGGCAAAGTCTATAATCTGATCAACCGCAGACGATTTCAGCAGATGGATGTGCTAGAGGGATTAAATGTTCTTGTGACAATATCAGGTATGTTACTAGGCTGGCCTATGCACAGGTGGGTAAAGTGATCACCTTATTCCTGAAAAACACTAAGTTCTACCCTTTCCAGCTAGCAAATTGTACAAGTTATAGCAGTGTGACCAGGTGAGATTTTTGTAGTGCTGGAGATTCTGAGGCTTGCTTCTGTCTGAAGTCTGAAAGAGGCAGAAATGTTTCAAAAAAAATGTTTATTTCTAGGCTTTTACCTATGTCAGGACTCAGTGAGAATCTTTTTAAGATGTCAGCACCCCAGTTATTATCATATACCTTAGGTGGAGAATATCAAAATGTACGCTTTGGGGAGGGTGATTTAGTCAGCAGAAATTTCTCTGGTCTTCCTTCTCACAAAACTTCTCCTGCTTACAGTCCACGGATGTTTTGGGAAGTGCACCTGGACCAAGTCTGCAAGGAGAGTGGCGTGGGGAAATCATTATTGCTACATTTTTCAACTTTCTGGTTCCCAAAAAGGGCTTAAAAAAACATGGAGACAAAGCCTAATTAAATGGAGATTAAGCCTCAATACTGACAAATTAAAAATACAACCTTCATCTGTGTCTATTCAAAGGAAACTTGGGGTTTTTTTTCTTTTCCAAAGGTATTTAAAGAAGTTTAACCAATGACCCTCTTCCCTACTCCTTCCATTAACTAGGAAATCAGTCTTTCTACTATGCTTTAGAACCACCTGGGGAGAAGGAAAGTCCAAGCTCTGGGGCAGAACCTGTGAGAGTGAGGTACTGGTATCAGTGGTACCCATAGCTCTGAGGGGTTCCTATTTTGCAGCCAAATTTACAAGCACGGCTCTAGGCTCGGCACAAAAAGACAACGTGGGGCTTCTGGGTTGAACCTAGAAGAAGTTTAACTCTTCTGCAGTGTTTTCATTTTGAGAAAATGTTTTACTTTGCACTTACAGTGCCCTCTTTATTTTACATTTCTACTGAATGCTTAGAATATTATCATCCCCAAATAAAGGTTAACCAAGTAAATTCTTCTTTTATGATTTGAGTTTAATTCTGTGAAATCCTTTGTTCTGTCTAATTGCCTTCTTGATTACTACCCTACCAAATTAAAATGGAATCCTCACATCTGCCACTCATCTAGCCAAAGTAGAAATGCTACCAGAGGATTCATGTTAAGGCCTTATTATTCTGTTAGTGACACATCCTCATTTTTAAGAGTGTAACTGTCTTGTCTTACGAAGCACAGATGGGGAAAAAGAAAGTGAAAATAGGAGGAAAGGATTCTTGAATTGCCCTCAGTTGCACACTGGCATACAAAGGAGGGAGTGTGCCCTCTCCTGCCCTCCTGGTGATTATAAGCAGCACATATTCTAGGCTTCTGGTTACAAAAATAAGTAACAACTGCACCATGAAGAGTTCTGAATGCACTCTTCTCTCAAATCCAGTGTGCAATGCTTTAATGATTTCTCTTCTTCTGCTATATGTCACATCTGTAAAGTATAAAATATCTTTGAAGCCAAAGAGAAACAAGTATCCAAGAAATAAAATGCACAGGCCTAAATTTCTCATTACTAAAGAAAGACCCCCAAAGTGGCCATTTTCTTCTCTGATACTCAGATAATGTAACGAATACACTAAATTTCCTTCTTGTAAACTCTTCCATACTATCACAGGTGTTCTTATTATCCTATGAATTATTTACTGTGCATCACTTGACCAAAGGGAACTTCTAAGCCCTTTTTCTCCAAATCCATACCTTTTTCTTCTTTTATGTTTTTGTTTGATATTCCTGTCAGTGATCTCAGCACCATAAATTTGTCCAATATCATTTTCAGACCTAGAAATGCTTTCATTGAATTTGTTTCTATGTCTCCTCTTAAAATTCTTTTGTTAGTTATTTATAACTACTGACAGTTGTCATCTTTGAAGCAATAGAGGAGATGAATGAGAGGCTCTGTGTGACCACCTACAGGTTAAATGGTGAGGGAAAGACAGTGTGCTAAAATAACCACCTGTCAACTTTTTCATGAGATTAGGTCTAGAATGTTCTGGAATTCTATTGAAGAGTTAGGTCTCACTACATTCAACAGACACTGGAAAGAGAATAAGAACAGCTTGCTCAAATAAGAAACCACTTGAAGGTTATTCTGTGATTTGTTCAAAACACTAGAAGCTGAACCACAGGTCCTGCCAGAGTTAAGTCTAATGATGAAGAACAAGGATACTGGTTCTTATGTCTGTACATACACACAAATGTAAATAAGACCACAAAATGATGTAGGAAAGAAGGGAGAGAGAACAAGCTTGAAATTAAAACTCTCTTTTTTCAACAGGAAAGAAAAATAAGCTACGAGTTTACTATCTTTCATGGTTAAGAAATAGAATACTACACAATGACCCAGAAGTGGAAAAGAAACAAGGCTGGATCACCGTTGGGGACTTGGAAGGCTGTATACATTACAAAGTTGGTAAGTCTGAAGACTTTGCAAATTTGGTGTGTGACTTGACCAGTTTCAGATGTTTCTGGAACATTAAGTATACCTTGAATTCCAAAAAAATGAAGAAGTCAGATTGATGAAGTTCAAATAATGCATCAGAATAAAGTCCCAGGCTCCAGTCCAAAAATTCATATGTACTTCTGCCCAAAAACACATTAAAATGACAACAGAGGAATGAAAATGCCATAAACCTTACAAAGTCAAGGAGATCAAAAGAAAAGCCAACAAATGAGAGATGCCAATAAAATTGAACAAGAGTAGCTAGGTGACTGGGGACAGACCTAGTGGACCAGGAAATGCTGAATTCTAAACATATAGAGAGGAAACTTTACCATTTCACAGAATCCAGAAAGGCCCAGGAACTGAGACCCCAAGAAAATCTCGAAGCAGAAGTGAAGGGTAGTACTGGAAATAGAAGGAATATGGGAAAGTGGATAAGCAGTAAGTCCTCCAGAGCCCAGGCCCCCACCTAAATAAGCATGCCACTACCTTCCATCACTGCAGCAAAAGGGTCTAAACAGCCACTGTGAGGATGGGAATACTGGCAAGGACACACACACACACACACACACACACACACACAACCTCCTTTGCCTGTTCAGCTCCCAGAATCTTAGCAGCCATGCTTATATTCCCAAAGAAGAGTTTGAAAGATTTGTCTTTGGAGGAATTAAATGGTCAGAAAGAAAAGATGCATAGGTACTAACATTTAAACTCATAAAAGAAAGCTTGTTGTCTACTTACTCTAAAATAAAGCCCAGAATTTGTAAGTCCAACTATCCCAGGCTTATTGGAGAAATCCAATATGAAGGAAACTTAAAAGTTTATAAGGGCATTAGAATAATCAAGGATAATGAGAAATGGAAGAAAATTTAGGAAGAAGAGAGAGAAGAGAGAAAGGAAGAAAGAAAGAAGCTATAACTTTAAAGAAATTAGAAAAATTGTTTCCATAAAATAAGAAAGTAGGGCTATAGAGCAGAGGTCATTAACAGACCAAGGAAAAAATCTTGGAAAGTAAAATATATCAGCAGGAATAAAAAATGTAACACAAGTGTTGCAAGACAAAGATGAGAAAATCTCCTAGAAAGCAGAACAAAAAGAAAGAGAAAAAGAGAGAAAAGATAAAAAATGAATCAGTCTAAGTGGGGCAAAATGTGAGTTTTAGAAAAGAAGAGAGAATAAGAAGTAGAATTGGAAGAAAGTTGAAAGAATACAAGAAAACCTTCTAGATCTAAAGACCTTGAAATCCCAGATTAAAACAATTCTGAGTACCTAGTATAGTGATCAAAAGAAGACTTACAAGACAACAAACATCGTCATATTTCGATACTCATGAATTAAGGAAGTTCTTCTTTTTAATTTTTATTATTGTTTTATTGCTGTGCTGGGCATACATTGTTACATTATGCCCCAACGTGCGTCTGATAGTCAATTCGCCCCTCCATCATTCTCCTTTACCCCTCTCCCCATTCTTAGAATAGTCTCAACAGGTCTCATTTCCCATTTTCTTACGTGACTGCGTAATATTTCCACCACATTCACCTTCTCCACCCCTTCCCTTCACCTCCCCCTTATACTGATACCCATCCCAGATAGGACTTGTGTTACCTTCTTGTCCTTTGTTTTAGAAAAAAAAAAGAGATTTCTGTTTGTTTAAGATAGCTACCCTGGTCACTTCATTATGACATTTCTATGTGTATATGTATTATATCCTGAACTGGTTCATCCTCCATTCTAATGAGAAGGCTCTTAAAAGTTTTCAGATTATAAGTAAATCAATGAACAGTTTGGACACAATAGACAGAGAATCAGAATGGCTTGAGACTTTTCAGCCTTCAAAATTCCAAAGGTAAAACTATTTCCAACTAATACTTTATAACCTACAAAATGCAGTATTAGAGTTCTTCAGAGAAATATAACCAACAGAGAGAGAGTGTGTGTGTGTGTGTGTGTGTGTGTGTGTGTGGTGTGAAGAGAGAAAGAGATGATAAGGAATTGGCTCACACAATTATGGTGACTAAGCATCCTGAGGTCTCCAGTCAGCAGGGTGGAGAGCCAGTAGAGCTGGCGGTATGACTCTAGCCGGAGTCCAAAGGCCTGAGCCAGTAGAACTGATAGTGTGGTTCCTGTCCAAAAACCAGCACACTCAAGACCCAAAAAGAGGTGGTAATTCAGCCTGAGTCCACAGGCCAGAGTATACTGTTGTCCTCGCTCAAACAGATAGACCAACTCAGCCTTTTTGTTCTAATCAGTCTTTCATTTGATTAGATAAGGTCCACACACATCCAGGAGGCCAGTCTGCTTTACTTACTGCTTCAGATGTTACTGTCTTCTGGAAGCACCCTTACAGACACACCTAGAATAGTGTTGGACGCCCTGTGGTTGTCAAATTGACACATAAAATTAACCATCTTACCATCAAACTACCCATCAACTTTGAGTACAGAAATAAAGACATTTTTAGGCATGCAAGATCTCAAAAAACTGTATCTCCTGCACCATCTCTCAGGAAGGTACTGGAGGATGTGCTCCACCAAGATAAGGAATTAAAACCTGCTGATCCAGGGAAAAGATAAAGAAAATACCCAGAATAATGGTGATGGGAACCTAGGATAACAACTCTGTCATGGCCTGGAGATAAATCAGTCCTAGCAGAGTGGGACAATGCAGGAGTCCAGATGAGTGCCTCCAAGAAAATTAAAATAGATATTCATTAAGATTACATGCCATGTTTGATCATGTCATAAGCGTGTTTCCTAGGAGAAAATTTACATGTACTTTAGAGATAGATACAGACAAAGTAAGAAAGCAGGGAAAAATGAAGGAAAACAAGAAAGGAAACGTAATCATGGTATACTGTGTGCCTCATCTGTGAATAGGAATAATTTGAATGCTTTGAATTCTTTTAACCAAAAATTTAAAATATAACTATATTGTGAGTGTGAGGGAAGAAGCTATGTATAGCATGAGACCTAGAGAGAGAAGAAGATGGTATAAGAAACTAAGTCCTGTATGCACAGTGGCACACACCTGTAATCCCAGCAATAGGGGGAGCAGAGATTGGGAGGATTGTGGTTCAAGGCTAGCCTGACAAAAGTTAACAAGACCCCATTTTGACCAAAAACCCCACGTGGTGAGTTCCTGAGAATCTAGCTACATAGGAGGTATATGTAGGAGAATTACCATGTCAGGCTGTCCCTGGGCAAAAATGCAAGGCCCTACCTGAAAAATAACTAAAGGGAAAAAAATGCTGAGGGCATGGCTCAAGTGGTAGAGCCACTAGCAAGCAGGAAGCCCTGAGTTCAAACCCCAGTACTACCAAAAGAAATAAAAAGAAGCTATGTCCCCTTTTCATTGTATGAAGTCAGTAGATAATGTCTACAATTGAAAGAAATTCAACAAGTTACAGAATAAGCATGTTATTTAGGAACCTGGAAAGCAATTGCTGAAGAAGTAGTCAAAGACTTGGCAATGATTGTTTGTAGAGAGTAGAACAAAGACTGAGATGAGCATGTTTTTCATTAACCTTGTGGAACTATTTGACTTTTTAAAAATATGTATCTGTAAAATGTGTTTAATTCAGAGCTGATAAAAATAAGAAAATGTTTAGAAGTTTCTAAAACATGTCCTGGACAAGATCCAGTATTAAAATGATGATAAAGGGGTAGCAGAAAGGCTTCAGGCCCCTTCCTTCCAAAGGTGCCCATGATGTGACCTCTGAAAAGCATGGTGCTTTGAAATTATAAACAGTGGAGTTGATCCAATCATGTGAGTTACAGGACAGAGGTTGAAACCTAATGAAGTGTATTAAAGACAGAAAGGGCAAACAAAGGGGCACTCTACAGATGAGCTCAGGAAGCAAGAATCCAGTCATTTATCCTGACCTGTCCTGGCAAGAACCAGTGTGTCATCTTCTGCCAGTGACAGAGGGGAGTGTTCTGGAGCAGAGCCTCCATGTTCTTTTCCTCTGAGTTTATTCCAAGTGACCTTCCCAGGTACCTCACTATTTGACAAGTTTTGAGTGCCCAGAAGGCCATGCCTTCCCACTCCCCTACCCTCCCACCCCTGCAACACTGTTTTTTAATAATGTGCCTTTTGGGTTCTACTTTTTAAAAGAAGCACCTATTCTTACAACTCAATGGGCTCATTGGTGTAACTCTAAAGCAGATTTTGGAAAAAATAAACATTTGATGCCTGTAAACACATGCACCCCTTAGCCACAGCCTTATTGTGCTGCCCAGCGTCTCGCCCAGCACTAGACACCTAGAAACCAGGTAAGCAGTGTTTGTTAAAGAGGACACACAAACCAGCACACCTGAGCGACTGGTTTTCATACCAAGCTAGTGAGTTGCAAGCTGCTACCTGCTTTACTGTGCACTTCTGTTTGGGAAGCAGAATTATTTGGTACTTTCTAATAAGAGACCCTAGAAAACTAATTTTCTCTTGTCTTCAATCTGATTATTTGGCAGTATCAAACATGCATCCACTATTCTCACACCAGGTGAAATTCAGAATCATATGTACATGTGGTCTTCTTTGGGAGATAGTGGGTTTCGTTTTTTGAAAATAGGCCTTAACTTCAGAGGAAAGCAATATAATCTTAGTGCTATTATGGAAACAATTCTAACAGCACTTCTAAACATTTCTCTAATACAATTTAGAATTTCCTTTAAGTCCACCTTTATTACTTGGTATGTATTAGCCCAAATACTTAGAGTGATCAAATTTAATGCACATTAACTAATATGGTATGATTACAAAGCAATAAAATTCATCACAAGAAATAATACAATCTCTGAATGTTTATCTCTTGCATACACCTGGAAAATGTTTTTCAAAACCATGATGCTACAGAAGTCCTGTTCAATCTGTAGGTCTTCCCTTGGCTCTTCTAGCATTTCTGACCTCTTTCTTCTAATTATTGCTGTCTCTTTTCATTTCTGTGACATTAGTAGGCTGACCTATAGCCAGAACATGAAAAATGAACTGTAACCAGAGAGCAATAACTGATGATTATCCATCAGAAGACAATACCAGATTGATTTTCGGAAATATTTTACCTCAGTTGTCCAAAGAATCACTGGGCAGTCTCTCTTTTGTTTTCCTTGTAGGATTCCAGTCAAGACAACCCAGAAGTTCTTACAACACATAATTATCCCAGTTTACTCAAATTCGTGTGAAATTTAAAAAATACGAAATGAGAACAACACAGAAAAGAAAATTGTGTATCCAAGAGTCATTTCAAATATTTCATTTGTCTTAGCTATCTGCACTTAGATAAGTTTTTACCTTCAAGCTTTCTAAGCTTTCATGGTGAATCTTTTCCTAGGTTTCAGGTGAGGAGATCAGAGAATAGTTTCACAAAGAGTTCATGCCATGAAAATTAGGAAGGAGACAACTAGAATCCTAACTTGTCATATAAACACGTTAGATTTTTCCTATCCAGTTTCTTTAGGACACAGAATGTTCTGGTTGTACAGATATTTTATGAAGGGAATCACTGGAAAATTACCATTTGGGGATTACAGATTTTCTAAGAATTTGATTTCAGATAATACAGTAAGATCCAGAAGGCATTTAACAGATTCTGTAACCTCTCAAGTTCATCACTGTAAGTAATGATCATCATAGTAACAGAGGTACATAGGTCACAGTGAGAGAAGATCAAACATGCAAACCAGGCATTGTAGCTCTCATGCTTATAATCCCAGCTACTTAGAAGGAGATCTGGAGGATGGAGGTTCAAAACCAGCCTGGGCAAAAAAGTTAGTGGAACCCTCATCTCAACAAACAAACCAAGCCTAGTGGAGTGTGCCTATGATCCCAGCTACACAGGAGGCCGTAGGTAGAAGGATCATAGTCCAGACCACCCAAACAAAAATGTGAGACTCTATCTTAAAAAACAACCTGAAAAGTAAAAAGGCTAGAAGTGGGCTCAAGCAACAAACCATCTGGCTTAAGGCCCTCAGTTCAAACCCCAGTCCCAACAAAAAAGAGAGCAAGAGTGAGAAAGAGAAAAAAGGTCAGACAATAAAATCTATTCTTCTCTTCATTCATTAGATGAGCATTTGTGAGTACAACTTTTGTAAGGCAATAATTAAGTAGATACTCAATCATTTTACCAAGTTTCTAACTACAGAACTTCAAATGCTTAAACGTTCCTTTTCTTAAAGAGTAAAAGGAGCTGGGTGCCAGTTGTTCACACCTGTAATCCTAGCTACTCAGGCAGCAGAGATCAGGAGGATCCCAGATTGAAGTCAGCCCAGGCAAACAGTTTACAAAAAAGGGCTGGTAGACTGGTTCAAGGGGTAGGCCCTGAGTTCAAACCCCAATACCACAAAAAAAAAAAAAAAGAAAGAGTAAAAGGATGTGCTGAAGTATGTAGAGTCCTTAAAAATAGGTCATTAAGGGAACCCAGGACTCCTAACATTCCATCTTTCATTAACTTAGTCATAAATAAGCAATTATTTTACTTCATAATTAGAATTCAAAATCTGAATAAGAAACATGGTATCCCATTTGGTAATTTTCTTACCACCAAACCATAACAGTTCTCAGCTGCTTACATTCAAGTAAGCATAAAAGCCAAGCAAAGTGATATAAAGGAAATTATACCGATTCTTATCACAGTGAATGTTCACATGTCACCTTCGTGGTTGAAGATGGTGATAAGCAGTTATAGCTTTAGATGAAGGACAAGTCTTCAATATAAAGTAAAGTATTCTGCCTACCAGGCACCCTTGGAAGTTAAACCCGTGTCTATGGAAAAAAATCCTGTATCAGGAGCATCACCCGCATGGAGATAGACAGATACCTACTTATGTCATGTGGCTTCGATAGTCATTAATATCAAAACTTGAATAAACTGATGTGCTTTTTATTTATTATTTATTTATTATGGTTTATTACAGTTAAATATGAAAGGATCAAATTCTTGGTGATTGCCTTAAAGAATGCTGTGGAGATATATGCCTGGGCTCCTAAACCATATCACAAGTTTATGGCGTTTAAGGTAAGCAGGCATTTGCTTGGCTGTTTTTTTTATTTTCAGTATCTACCAGTGGTCTGTTTTCCACATAAAAAAGATCAATTTACTATATTTAACCAGTTTTAAAAGTATTTCTTGGATTTATTATTTTAAAAATAAACAGTAAGGCCAGGTGCAGTGGGATAGCCCTACATTTTTAGGTACTTGGGAGGCTGAGATCAGGAAGATCTCATTTTGAGGCTGTGTGGACAAAAATTTCCCAAGGCCCTATCTCAAATAAGAAAAAGCCAGGCATGGTAGTGTACAGATATCATCCTGTCTCTGCGGGAGATGTGAATAGAAGGTTCACAGTCTGGATCACCATCCAGACCAGTCAAGGTACAAATGGGAAGCCCTATTCGAAAAACACCTAAAGCAGAAAAGGGCTAGGGGCATGACTCAAGTGGTAGAGCATCTGCCTAGCAAGTGCAAGGCCCTGAGTTCAAACCCCAGTATCAAAAATTTTAAAAGCAGAGCTGGCAGAGTGGCTGAAGTGGTAAAGTACCTGCTTAGCAAGTATGAGGTCCTGAGTTCAAACCCCAGTACCAGCAAAAAAAATTTTTTAAGTAAAAAGTACTAAAAATGCTATAAAAATTATGAAATTAAAATTTATATTTGAATTCCTCCATTTGAAGTCTGTGAGTCATTGGCTTCAAGTATGGAATGGTTACCAGATAAAACATCAGTTATGATATTACACAGTCATATTTATCGGGAAGCTACCTAAAGTAGAGTACCATCTGATGCTTTGTCTGAAAAAGGCAGACTGAATCTCAAGGTTAAACAGTCTCCAAATCTTCTAATCATCATGAACCTTTGTACAGAAAATCTCTAAAATCCATTTGATATTCATATGTCCCCATTACTAATAGAGGTCTCTGAGTTGAATACTGAATGCAGTCACTTATGGGAAGGACCTGGATTCTCTGCACTCCTCCATTCTGATTTCCTTTGTATTTTTTACCTTGCCTGTGTGTGTACTTGCCATGGTTGGATTGATCACTCATGAGATTCAACAAGAGTGAGTTTAGGATATGGTAGACCCATGGACCCCAGTTCATGAAAACTAGGCTCCCACCCCCACCAAATGCCAGAAGGACAAGTACTTTGGGGCATCCTATGGGGTTCAGAGTCACATAGCCTACCCATAGCTAGTGTGAATTTATTTTCTGTTCTTTCTACCTCTGTCCCACATTGGCCCTCAGCTTCTCTCCCTACTTTTATGACTGTTATCTCCCTTTGGCTCTTTAATTACTCTTTCCTGCCACACATGTCATATCAGAGCAACAGCTTCTCTGGAAATATTGTCAGAGACTGAATTCCCTTACTTCTATCCTGTTCCCTTAGTGCAAATGGCTCATTTGTGGTGTGCTGTGGGTGACAGATTACCAACAGAAACGGGCTCCCCTTCATAACCCCACTCTTATGAAAAGAAATTTTTAGAATGCATTAGGTTCATAACAACACTTAAGGGATGATTCCCAGAAGCTAATATATGCAGCTGTTCTGCCAAAATCTCCCTCCATAAAAGCTTTCAATCAAAATCCTATTCCCTTTCTGATTCTGAGGTCACTGCTGTCAGGGTACCAGCCAAAGCCCATAAGAGAGTACAAAATACTCTGTTCAGCAGACCAGACCCAGCCTGGAAAGAGGGAAGAGCAAAGGCAAAGACTTGAACAGGAAAACCTGGAGCTGGCAGGAGATAGAGCCTTCCCAGTAGAGCAAGGATAGGAAGTGCAAGCTTCCTGTGCTGTGAGAACTATGTTAACAACAGATGACGAGAGAGGGTGTTAGGAGGCAGTGGTATTAGAACCCAAGACAATTGTGGACTCTCAAACTTTCCTCTAGAGTTCAGGGTCCAGTGAAAGCACAGGATGATAAAATAATAGCAAAGGGAAACAGAGGAATATTTCATAGGTAGTTGTGGCTTGGGTCCTGGATCCAAACACACAAAACCTTGATAAACTTGACTAGAGCTCTCCTTTCTTCCTTTCTGGTTAAACTCTAGTAGCCAATGCAGTCTTATGTTTCACCCCATCTCCTTCTCTTAATGCTCAAATCTAAAGATCAGATCTCATATTAAGTTTAGAGAAAATGCTACTCTGACACCACTTAATCATGTAACCAGAACATGACACTAATCCTGAACAGGCTTACCAACAAGACCAAACCCTAGTTGCCCATCCAGGCTGTTCTGAAAACTGGCAACCACAGTTGGAACTGGTTGCAACATGGGAAAAAAGAGGGACTGAGAGGTGGTGGACATTCTCCAGAGGCCACAGGCCAGAAATAAACAAGAAAGGACAGCAGCACCCAGGCACTGTGTTTTTAATACACAATGACACTGCCAAAATTGATAGCTGCAGACCACCTTCTCTGCCCTGGAGGACAAGAGATGGGAAAAGGGACAGAAATGGGTGCAAGTCCCTTCATTCTGGAGCCAGAATATGAACAGACTTAAAACTAAGACATCTACTAGCGTTTCACCTGAAGAAAGGCAGAAATTAACTTTCTCTAGACAATAGCTAAAGGAAAAACATTATTAAAATAGCCTCTTTTAATGATGTGGGTTCTAATGGGGTGATTTTTAAAGTCTTTTGCAGATCTTCAGCACAAGCCTCTGCTAGTTGATCTCACTGTAGAAGAAGGTCAAAGGTTAAAGGTTATTTTTGGCTCACACACTGGTTTCCATGTAATTGACGTTGATTCAGGAAACTCTTATGATATCTACATACCATCTCATGTAAGTGCCCACAGCAGACTGCCCGGGCTTTCTGGATAATGGCCAAATGCAGAAAGGCATTTGGTTTTGCATATTTTGGGTAGAAGTCTTGCTAACATTTATTAATTTGGGCCATCACTAAGTAGACAGAATGCTTTTAGTGAGTAAAACATGTAAATTAACTAATTTCTATTACTGCCTACAACTGGGTAATGTATAACATAAATTTTTGATATTTACTTATTATCTTTTAAATTTTAGATTAAAATGCAAATGAGATTTACCCTCCAAAGGTATATTATACAGTAGATGGGTTTCCATTTTCTGTTTTTGAAGAGAAATTGGTTCATTTTCTGCAAGAGAAGGCCAATGGTCAGATTCTAATCTCTTGGGAGAAAATCCCTTTTCTGATATTTTTAGTTCCCCTTGCAGCCTGAGAGCCATGTGGCATAGTAGAGTCAGACACACTGGAACTGACACTGTTTCTAACATGTGTGAACATTGCAATAATGAACACACCATGCAGCCTCTCCGATCCTCAATTTTCATTATCTGTAAAGTGGGAGGCCTATCCCATAGAGTTATCATGGACATTAAATTAGGTAACAGACCTTAAGCATTTGGCACAGGGCCCTACAAATTGTAGTTCTTCTTATTAGCAACATAAGATTCAAATTACACATTACCTAAAGCAATGCTGCCTGGGTTCACTTATTAGAACTAGTTTAGTATAAGCCATGTGTTTTGCATGTAATCCCAAGGCTAACATAGAGTAGAAATATTGAGAATTGGAAGACTTGAACGAAGCACGATCATTTTTAAAAGTTGTTTTAGTACATTGTACGCACACATTTGTGCAATTGTCGTTCAGTTGCATTGCATTCATTTGCTGCATTGCAGCCTTTTACTCTTGCACGTGTGCATCAGTGAGGCAGCTTGAGCATCCCTGCCACATCCTCGATTCCTACATTCCTGTCCATCAGGCTCAGTTGGGATGTCATGTCATGTCAACACAGAGAATCACAACAGCACAACTTCTCTTTCCCTAGCACTAGTCAGTCTACCCTTAATTTAATAATGTGATTTTTTTTAAATGTGTGGCAGTTCTAATTTTTTTCAAAATAAACCATCAATTTGGATTTTTCTGATATTTATTTAGGCACCCAGCTAAACAATCTGGATTACATATTCATGGCCTATTTGGTAGATGGCTGGCATTTGCATCATCTTTTTTGGGAGTAGTTGTTCTAATTCAATGTCAGTGTGCTCCAATCCCAAGTCTACCACCAAAGACTGGCACAGCTTTGGTCAGGTTACACAGCTTCCTTAGATGCGGCTTCCCCTACTGTAAACAATGATAGCCTCAGTGTGGAGCTGTTCGGGGGCTAGAAATCACACATGTAAATGGTCCAGTGATCGCTGCATCCCACATGCTCCATGGATGTGGTGTTCTTGTCCTTAGGAGCAAGTCGGTTGGATTCTTGGTCTAGTAACTAAGTTTGTATTTATGAGGGTGTTTGGCAGATAAGTGGTTAAATTAAACAAGCAAATTTCAATCTCAAGAGTAAAAATGGGGGAAATTTTTTTGGGGGGGAATTCTTAGAGATGAAAGTCAAAGGGTGTTTTATTTTCAAAAGAATAATGCTTGGCCTTTCTTTGTCTTCTAGATTCAGGGCAATATCACTCCTCATGCTATTGTCATCTTGCCTAAAACAGATGGAATGGAAATGCTCGTTTGCTATGAGGACGAGGGGGTGTATGTGAACACCTATGGCCGGATAACCAAGGATGTGGTGCTTCAATGGGGAGAAATGCCCACGTCTGTGGGTAGGTTAACCATTCCTTACCTCCTTCAGCAGTTACACCCCCCAAATGAAACGAAAGTCAAGAAATGTGAAACAACCATTTGAGTCCACAAAAAAAAAAAAAATCTGTGAATAACACTTGTAAGACTTGCTTTGTCTGTTTATCTCAAGTCGTTTGTCATTTTTGTGGTTAAGATGTGAACAAATGCTGTGAGGTGTTGCCCATCTAATGTTTTTAATGCAGTTTTGGAAATTCCTTTTGACAGCCTACATTCATTCCAATCAGATAATGGGCTGGGGCGAGAAAGCTATTGAGATCCGGTCAGTGGAAACAGGACATTTGGATGGAGTATTTATGCATAAGCGAGCTCAAAGGTTAAAGTTTCTATGTGAAAGAAATGATAAGGTAAATCCGTTTCAACATTTGCATTAGTGTTTGCATTTTAAGAGACCACCAGGTACCTGTGAAACCTTCATTTTCCTTTATACTAATTTGAATCACATCTGTGTCAAAAAGTCAGTATTATCTTGAAATGGCATTATTTGGTTTGATTCATGTGAACACTCAAAATATATTCTTCACGTATCAAAACAAACATAAAACATCTAGAAATTTCTTATAAACTCTTAGTAACCGTTGTGGCCTGTAGGCCTTATGGTGAGTCAGTGGATACCCCATATTTTCCTACACACTTAGAGCAGATGAGCCATCATTAATCATCTCACAGTGGGTCACCTTTGTACTTCCATTTTTAGGCTTTTCACAAAGTCACTATCAGGACCTAACCTTCACATTGTATTCACCCTTAAATGTGAACCATCTGACATGTAGAAATATGGACTGTTTTTAAAATGTCACCCACTTCTGAAGAAATGCACAATCACAAACTCAACTAGTGCCATGTCCTGTGTCATTCCAGCCATGTTTCTTCTGACATGTCATAGGGGGACTGTTTTCCAATGATAGAGGCTGTGTCCGTCGGGCATGATCGATCACCTCAGAGGGGAAATCTGTAGCAGTATCCTCCCTGTAGAGTAACCAGGAGTTTTCACAAGCTAAGCTATGCTGCATTTATGAATCCATCCTTTGTGGCTATGGCCAACACAGCTATGCTGTCCCTAAAGCAACAAACATAGACACTCAGAGAAAAGCTTGTGATGAGTTGAACTGTTGTACATCTCCTTGCTCATATTAATTCCCCAGAGGCCAGGCCGGTCTTTGTCCAATCCTGGTAGCATGAATCTAGACTATATTTGACTCTGGCCAACTACTCTGACCTGCTTTGGTCTAGGTAGACAACAGATGTGGGCAACCAAGATGGTACCAGAGTATGTCAGAAAACAGACCTAACTAGTAAGACTCTATCACCTACCCAATTTATGGAGGTCAGATGATTACGAGTGATCTGGTATGGACACCCACACTCTGGTCCATTGACCCACTCCAGCAGACTTGTTCCAAGCCAGGCCCACATTCCCAAGAAAAGACTGGGACCACACCAGTATCTGGGATCCAAGATTTAGAGGCCAGGACACAACCTGGAGAGAACAGCAACCCTTTCTTTCCCTCATTGTGCTTTTCCATAGGTCCTCTCTGTCCTGTATTTTGATTCATTGACCATAAGAGTATCTTTACTTTCTATGCAGCATTAATTGAATGACAAACATTTCCACAGGATTCTTAAGACGTTTTCACAAAGGAACATTCATCTGAAAAAGTTGTGGAAATGAAGTAACAAAAACTTTGCACTAGTGACAAAAGCAAATTCCTTGGACCAAATTTAGGTGTTGCTGACTGAAGGGCTATGCCATAGCCCAAAATACAGCTTTCTTGGTGCAGTGGTTCATTTACATTCAGCTAAGGCAAGCAGTAATCCAAATTTTGTTCCCTTCTCTCATTTGTTTGATAAAATGATTGACCAAACTCAGACCTAGTGGACTGTGGCTCTGCTTATTAATGTCATTATCTCATTTGGCCAAGGACCTTCTACCACCCACAGAGAAGCTAAGTGCTAACTCCCAAATGCCAGACCCAGTAGGCATTAAACACATTACCTTAGCTGACCACAACCATTTAAATTTATTTTAAGTTTTAAAAACTAAAAGACTCAAGTTGTATAATGATCATTTGGCACAAATTTTTCTCATGACTTTGGAAATTTGAAAGGATTCCCTTCCATTCTGAAGTCTGCCTTTGTGTCATTTTTGAGGGAGAGAAGGGGCGCCTCTGTGCCTTTCTAGAAGTGATCAGTGTCCTGGGCCAGAAATGCAGCTCATTATCCAAGCATGAAGTTCCCTCTTTAGATATGAACACCCAAAGGGATGCTATAACTCATGATAATAGCCACTTGCAGGGTCCCTGGGGGCCAGTATTGTCATAAGTAATAATAGCAACCATAGCAAAGAAGACAGGAGTGTTTACATAAGATGCTGTGTCTCAAAAGTCACCTTATAACCACTGGTCATTGAGTCTTAAGAGCTGACACATGGCAAGGATAGGACATGTGAGAGGAAATGGATGGACAGTTGAAAAAAAAAGAAGGGAAAAAAACATGCAGTTGAACTAACTTGTTTTTAATTTCAAACAGGTATTTTTTGCATCCGTGCGATCTGGAGGAAGTAGCCAAGTGTTTTTCATGACCCTCAACAGAAATTCCATGATGAACTGGTAACAGAAGAGCACTTGGCACTTATCTTCATGGCGTTATTTCTAATGTAACAGAACATAACTCATGTGGACTTATGCCAGTCTAGAGGCAGAATCAGAAGGCTTGGTTGAACATACTGCTTTCCCCTTTTCCTGTCCCTCCACCCCTCCCAATACAGTCCATCTTTCAGTGTTGCAGCCTGGTTGAGAAGGAGAGAAAAAGGTGGCAGGAATATCCGGGAGATCCCCAAGGATGCTGTGTTGTCTGTGGACCGAGATGGACCCTGTGCCCTTCGGAGTTAGGGATAAAAACAAATATTGTGTGCTCCTATGATTAAGCTGTGTTATGGTGGCTTTTGAGTGTATTCGATTTTTTGTTTTTTCACCTTTTTTCTTTACCCCCTTACTTTGTAAGAATGGGGAGAGAATGCATACTAAGAAAATGAGTCTGTTTTTAATTCTGTCTGCCTGCTAGCTTTAAGTATATGGTATGTTGTAAAATTTCCCGTTTCTAATGGTGAGAGAGAGCACAATAAATGTACCTTATCTCCTTACACTGAAGGCCATAACAACATAGTGGGGTAATTTAAGAACTCTCTTGCAACAGGTTGCTTTTTGATAGCAACTGGCTAATGAATTTTTAAAAGAGAAGAAAAATACTAGTTTTCCCCTCTTGGGGAAATAGATTTTAAATGGCTAAACTACTAGCCTTAGTCTAATAAAATCAACTACCGCTTTTGTGAGTCTGACAGGCCATATTTTTATGTGGCCCTTTGTAGAATGGAGTGTGCTGAATGAGGTAGTAATGCCAGTGAGTTGAGTGGGTCTAATGATTGAGGGGGACTCTGTAACATGACTTTCCCTCAGCCATTATGCAACGAATCAGGGCAAAAGATGGGATGACAGATGGGGTCAGTTAGAAAGAGCTTCTGGGAAACAAGCTTCTACGTCTATGTAAATACACACACCTTCTTTTTTAAATGCACAAAGCCTAAGAGATCACTTAATTTGGGCTTCATTAGGACTGAGATTGTTGAGTTCTTTCTGGGAACTGGGGAGTTCATGACATCCAGGCTCTGGACACTGCCAGCTCTCTCCTGAGGGTGCCACTTTCTCAAGATGAAAACTGTGACTGAAAAGAATGAATAATAAATGTTTCTGAGCTGTCTGTGTACTCCCTGGGTGGGTGAGAGAAGAGACTAGACTGCTAAGCCTGTCACAGACACAGTAGGCATCCTTGGCTCAGATTTTAGAGAATTTGAAAGCAAGGCTTTGGCCAAAATTCTAAGACCCTAATCACTTTACCTTCCTCCAAATTTCCCAACATACAGTAAACAACATCTGTGCAGAGATATGTATGTATTTAGTTCAGGTTGACTTGTGTCCTTATAAACTCTTACTCGAATGATTTGAGCTTTCACGTGACTGGGATTTTTTTTTCCAAAGCTACAAGCATGGCCGCCTGTGGTATCGAGGTGTTGCAAAACAGTATCTGTGTTGCGCTTCCTGTTTTAACCTACCTCGTTTTGTTTGTTTTTGTTTCACTGTTCATCACAGCAGTGTTATCTCCAGGAGACATATAGAGAGCTTAACTGGCAATCTCAGGTGTATTTAATATTTTAGAAACAAAACAGTAGTTGGCCAAATTGTTCTTCCTAAAAATGTGAAGGAGAAATCTAATGACAAAAACTAATATGGCTTGTTTTTGGAGAAAGCAAATACTGTAAATGGATCCCCAAAAAATAAAAAAAAGCAAACATGATTCTGCTGATTTTGCCCAAATACATGAGCAGCTAATGAACTATTAATGAGAACGAAGCACACATTAGGAAAATGGTGCCATTTCAATCCAGTGGTTTGGGCAAGGTGGGAAGGGGAGGGGAAATAGTCCAGGTTCTGAACCAGATAATTATCTTCCCCCTCCCCAAAAAGGTGATTGTCATTTCATTGATTTTATGCAGGTAACACACAGGAACAAAACAGGATTATCTTAAGGTGATCACCAAGATGGCCTCATCACGGTCCCTTTAGCTCTCAAAAGCAATGAAATCCTCCCGTTCTCATTTTTACTGCTGTGACCATGCTGCTGAACAATATTGTCTTCACAAATTCCATGCAACAAATTTAGCAATAACTTTGGATTGAACTTAGCAACTACTGTAATTGGATGCTGACATGGACAAAATACATTGATTTGGGTCTCATCCCCAAATGTGATTGCCACCAGCTCTTTATATTGCTGCTGTGGTATTTTAAACCAGAAGCTTCTTTAAATTATGTTGCAAACTGATCTTTGTTTTTATGTTTTGTTTTGTTTTTATTTCTAAGTGATAAGTTTGAAACACACAGCTTTAAATGATTTTTTTATTGTGGGATTTTGGGTACAGTTAAGAAATAAAAGGGAATCATTGTGTTTAAACATAAGGTAGTTTGTGAATGTATTTTTTAAAATCTAGATTCATTGAAACAAAAAAACCATAAAACAATATTAATGCAGTCTTGTTTACAGTATGTACAGTGACATAACATAGAACATGAGCTTTTCTGGTGCCAACAAAAATAAAACACAGATGTTAAACATCAAGCCATGCCTTTTATATTTTTGTACAAATATTTTACACTGAGTATAAGGCAAAACCAAATTTAAAAGGGCCCCCACAAATCTGTGCTTCTTAAAGCATATTTTTAGAATTTCTTGAAGCTTTTATCTTCAAAAACAGATATTCCACCCTCATGACAGGCCTAAACGTTGACAGAGTGCATCCTAGGTCATGTAGAATATATCAGAATTGTGTCCTTGCTGCTTATCCTTACAATTCCCAACTTTTTAGTTTGCTTTAATTCTTTTTGTTTCTTTTTTTGTGGGGGGTATTCACCTATCTCAATAAATTGTCTTCACTTTTGATCTTCCTGTAGGGGATTTTGTCGCTAGAAATTGGGTCATTTCCTTTTTATTTTTCTACAAAGAGAAGCAGAACCTTCCCTCTGAAGTAAGTTTCATTAGATCTGTCAGCCTCACTGCACCAAACTGATTATCACCCAGCAATCAATTGAGATTTACCACACCATAATTTTGGTCTGGGGTTTGGCAGGTGGCTATCATTCCTAGGCACTGGTCAGGGATGTTGTAGCTTAGATTCTTCAATCTAGTGAGTGAAGTATGAGTCTCCCACTTTCCAGTTCCATTCAGACCATTGTCATTGCTCACAATATAAATGAAGACAACTTGCACTAAGTTCTGATTAAAATCTGATGGCTCTGTTTAGATAAATCTCATTATTTTTCTTGGAGATTTTTAAACAATGCTTCAGGAAGACCTACAGCTCTTTTTTATTCAACCGGGTAGACTAAGATGAGTGAAATTTCACAAGTCCACTTAGACAGGGGCTCAATTTTTCTAACTTTGACATTGCTTCGTAAGACACACTCCTAACATACCTTGTATCACATACACATTTTTAAAAAGCATCTTAATTCCTGGTTGTCATGACCTACTAACCATTTTCTGTCTGCTCTTGTGACTCGTTAGTGATTGTGTCTCTGGTCCCTCCTATGTTGTAGACTGGAAAGAAGTAAGATATTCAGGCTGGAGCCATTTTGGTTTTGTCCATTGACAGACAAGGAAGGGCTGACTTCTGACTTCGCATTCCACTGATTTTTAAAAAATGCTTTCCCTACTCTTATGTGAACCAGTTCCTGTCACTGTAGTCTGCAAATGTGGAAGAGCTCTTTGTTATACTGGTGTGTGCTGTCTTTGAAAGTGTGCTTGAAGGACATACTTGCATTTGTGCTGAGTGCTTTAAGATGTAAAAGTGCTGTGTTATTTTTAAGAAAGAAAATACAGTTAATGGTCAAACATTAACCTTTACCTGCTGCAGGAAAACATAAGAAATGTTGATGATTCTGAATCACCCTACCATGCTTCCAGAATTTCCTCTGATACTATGTTCAGCCATCTCAACAGTTTTTGTAAATGGTTAGGTAACTTCAGTTCATTCCTCAAAATCTTCTAATCCAAACAAATCAAATAAAACATACAAACCAACCAATTAACCAAAACCTAGCTTCCCCTGAGACCACACTATTACAACATAAAATCTAAAACCAAAAATCTAAATTTGATTTACTCTGCCTATTAGTATGTCTCATAAATATCACTGTATTTGACCTTAGTCATAATAGCAATATCAGGAACCCTAAAGCAAACCATCTTTTCATGAGTCTCACATGAAATGGGTATAAAATGATCTCTTTTCAGGAGCCCCAGCAAAGAAGAGAACCTCTTCAGAATTTGCAATTCAAAATTGACAATTTGTACATTTCTGTCAACTTTTTTTGAGTGTTGTTTTGATTTCCATATTATATTACTGTTCTGGGAATTTCCCATAGACAAATAGAATATTCAATGATTTGTGTAGCATTAAACAGTATGAAATCACAACCCTGTGCTTTGCACTTTATTCTTCTATATGTGCCAGTCCACAAAGGACCAAAATAAAGATCCTCTCTAAAGTAGTTTTCAAACAAAAATCCCCATATAAAGTTTGAGCTAGTTTATGGCCATATCAAAATTTCAATGTGGCCATGATGCCAAACATTTGGTGGAAATCTAGAAAATACAGGTAAAAAAATTTACAAGTCCTAAAGTTTCCAGAGTTTTGGTTTTGTGTAACTAATTCACTCCTGGTGTGAGAGGGTTTCATTTTGATGGTTTATTTTTATCAACACCACGTTGCATTGCACTATTGAGGTGGAGCAAATGGTGACAGAAAGGTGAGTTTTAATTTCCAACATTAGATCTTTATACACAGCAAATATTCATGTCCCAATTTTCCTTTCCTTAGCTCTTCTCCCAGGGTAAGTGTTGAGGACTAATAATACATATTATGGTTTGTTTAAGAAACCTCTGACATCATCCTGAATCAGAATTTCAAATGGTAGGTGGTAGCAGGTAATAAAAGATGACAGCCCAGCTAAATCTTAAAATTGGATGTTGTAAAACTTTTTGTACATTTCAGTTGTTTTATTTACAATGTTGACCTAACTGTAGAAAGATGCCAGATTTACAATATTAGACGGGAATACTATCATTTTGTTGTGGCTATAATTATTTACATTTTTAAGTCTTTAGTTTTCAAGTGTTTTAAATTGTCAAAAAAAATTTGTTGAAACTGGATATAGTCATACCTGTGTATCTTCCTAGCATATTTTCTAATCTGAAACTTTTATCAGTTACTTTCAAATATTCTTTTGCTGCCTACATACAAAAATTCTTTATGAAGTATTCCTATGGTTGTTCCAAGGTGTAGTTAGAACTGCTTTGGCTCTAAGCCAAGATTTTCCCATATTTATTCCCTGAAATATATTGTTATATTATCTCTGTCAAAATATGAATAATGAGTCATTAGTGGTGGTAGGGCCCTGCCTGTTCCTCGTTGCCACTTCCAGATGTTGTCTCTCATCCTTCCTCCTAACACCCTGCTTGACAGCTCTAGGTCCCTCCCTGTGTAGCTCTTGGTAACGCCCCTCACTACTCTAGTATTTGGCTCTTGGTTCCCTGTCATTTCCTCCAACCCCACCATTTCTTAATTCTTGATGATTTCAGCATCCATTTAAGACACTCCTACAAATATCCTGACCTCTCAGTTTCCTGATCTTGTCCAGTGAAAATTATTACCAATTACTACATCAGCTCCTTAAGCAGCCCAGTTCTTCCCTTTTGTAATAGGTATATTCTATCCAATCTCTCCAAATAAAGGCATTGACTCAGCATTATTTCCTTATCTTTTGCATCACCAATGTATCTCATTCTGTTGAAGGACTTCACTGCATTCATGCCGCAGTGTCTCCTGTCTTATAGACACCCTCTCTGGTTCCACTACCCCCACTAACTAATATCTTATTTGTCTGCTTCCTATCAGAGAAAACCTCCCCAGAAGGAATTGTGTACATTCTGTCTAAATTTCTTTTCTCATTGTCTAAAATTTTTCACTGGTCTTTTGAACCATCTCAAAGCAGGATGTCATCCCCACCACAGTAGCTCTTTCTAAGTGATATCGCTGTCCAGTGCAATGGTCACGTTTCTGACTTCATGATACTTGACTTATCTGTGGTCTCTGACACAATTAATAACTACTTCTTGAAATATTTTCTTGGCCCTGGGACTTCCATGTTGTATTCTGTCATCTCCCTGGTCACTCATCAGTTTCTTGCTGGGTTCCAGGAGTGCCCCAGTACTAGGAAAAATCCACATTTTTATCTCCAGATCCATTTATATGTCTAATTCCCTACTTAGCACCTTCATGTGGATGTGTGATTGGCATCTCAAACTTGACCTGTCCAAAACTTATTTGTGCCCCACCTGCTAATATATCCCATTATAGGCCTTCTTCTATTGGCAAAATGGCAAGCTCCCTTCTTCCACAATAGAAAATCTTGTTACCCTTAATTTTTCTCTTTCAGATACTGCACTCCAATCCATTTTTTAGAAATCCAGTTTTCCCTAGCTTCAGAATATATCCGTAATAGGATATGGACACAAGTTGTCATGCCTGACATGATGCTTTTAAAACATAGGCCAGGATATGTCACCTTTCTGCTAAGTCCCTCAATGTCTCCCCATCTTATTCAGGACAACATCCTTACATGGCCATTACGGCCACAGAAATAATTTATGCTACCTTTTGTCACACTCTAGCCACAACTACCACTTCTTTGACCTCATCTATTTCCCTGCTCACTTTGCTCTAGCCATGCCAGCCTCCTTGCTTTACCCAGAATCCCCTCAAAGCATACTCTTGTCTCAGGGTCTTTGCCTGTCCTGTTATGCAGTCTGGAAACTTCTTCCCTCATGTCTGCCCCACTTGCTCTCTCCTTTCCTTTACATCTTGAGCACGAATATTCCTTTACTGTAAAGAGAGCTATATAAAATAATCTTCAATCCCCCAATCATTTTTGGCCTTATTGCCTTTCACAGCACTTATCATCATCTACTTTGCACACTGGTCTATCTAGTGCTTTGAAGAATACCTGGCAAAAGGAGTCACTCAGTAAGCTTTGTTGGATGAATGAATAAAAACAACAGTGTTGGAATTGTAAAAGGCATAGAGTTATATGGAGATTTTAATTTCAATATCAAAACAAAAAGCTGTCTCCAAAGTCTGCATCATAAAAACGTAGCTTTGCTTTCATGCAAAAAAAAAAAAAAACACTATAGATTTTCTTTCCTGGAAGGTTACTATGGATAGGCGACACCTGGTTCTGACCCTGGCTATCCTTTCTCACTCCATAAATCATCTTCACAGACCAAGTTGCAAGCCTGGAAGAAGGCTGCCATATAGAGTCCAAGAAAAGCAACATTACAAAACTCCTAGATTTATATAAATAAGGATCCATTTTACGCTATTGTCATTGCAATAAGTGAGTTCTTAGATGTAGAGAGAGGCTTCTGAGTTTTGTTTTCTGATCTAAATGTTTAAAAAACACAATTTTCTCCTCAAACAAGAAGTAAGCAACAGTAAAAGTATCATCCTGTCAAATGTTGCTTCAAAAAAGCCTAATGACATTTGGATCTTACCAATCTTCCAAGTGACAATAGTTCTGAGGCCTCCCTAGGTAGCCTCTACCATCTGTATATATTCAGTTTCACTGACTGTTGATGCATGACGTCTCATTGTAGGATATTAACACATGCCTTCTGATGAATTTATTGTTTCACCGAGTCTTGTAAAGGGCACACATTGTAGTTTCAATTTGTTCAATCATGTACCTTCCTGCTCACTTAATAAAAGAAATATTTTAAAAAATAAAGAAAGAACATAGTGAAATGATATAATATGAAGCAGTATAACAGTGAAAGAATTTTTTGTTCCCCTAGTATTTTCTGTGTCTTTTCACAAATCTGTGGAGATGAAGGAGAGAATGATGTGTAATTCATTCCAAATAGCTAGGGTTAAGGTCTTCATCTTTTCTAAGATAAAAAACATCTTGGGGTTCCATGGTGCATAGCTATAATTCCTGAAGTCTTTTTAAAAAGATAAAGGCATGGGTTCCAGGTACAGATGAAGAATGGGGAACAGATGCTAAGAAATGCCCAAGGTATCACAGTCATTGTGAACAACCTAGAAATTACAAACTCCAGTTGTTAAGATATAATAAATATTTTCAAAACAAGAATATTATATGAAAATTTTTCAGTAAGTTGGTTTCCTTTAAAATTGTATCTCAGCAGTGTGTCTGCATGTTTTCATTTTTCATAAGCAACTAAGTCTGTGTTTTGTGACAACTTGATTTAAAGTCAACTCCCTACAAAAAATAGTCATCTTGGTTTCCAAAGTTTGAAATTAACTTACCAAGTGAAGTCATAAGGACCGGGATCAGCGGCATCAAGGTGTGACCAAATTTTTCCAGCCTGTACCCAAGGCTTCATGATCCATGGTTATCTTTTATTTTCAGTCCATTTAATAAAAGATTTAAATCTAGAAGGTATCACCAGAGCAAAAAGACATAGAATAACTATTCATGAATGGAGGCCTGTCAACCAGTGCAGGCCAAAGTTAGTCAGTCAGTCTAGGCAAAATGACCAAAAGTACAATATAGTGAGTTGTTCACACAACTCATATAGAGATATTTGGAGATGTTGTTCCCTCATTTTTGTATTGGGATGTATTTGAGAGTTCCTGCCAAAAGACATGGCTGTTCATTTTATTAAATGTTCTAGTTTGGAAAAATGAAAAGTTGGTAGTCTGTTTGTCAGTTGTCACAAGGTTTGGAGTAGTTGAGCAAAGCTTCAGTTTTGTTTTTTATTTTCCTGGTTAGTGAAATCCAAAAAATATGTAACAACTACTCCAGAATAATCATAAAGGTCCAGACCTTTCTTCAGTGTAGAAATATACTGTCCATCTCAAAATTGGGGGTTCAAACATAAAGAGGCAAAACCATCCTCCAGCATTGGAACAAAGTGGGCAGCCGCCTAGTGTGCAGGACTGGGCTCATATTGCTGTCTTCACGAGATAGTGGCAGTAACCCTGTGTGGCATTCCAGACACCTCTACAGGTGTCAGTGCCATCACAGAGTGGACAGGCTATGAGATATAAGACACGATTTCAAGACTATCATCAGCTCACCGCATCCCAGCCATCTAATCTGCTGAAGAAGACTGGTTCCCCAAGGTTTGAAAATGTGATGAGTTCCTATCATGAAAACCCAAGATACTGAAGAGCAACAAAAAGTTCAGTAATACTTTCAAGCAAAACTGTCTGTTATGAGCCACATTCATTTGAAAAACAATACTTACATATACGAGTCTCTTTTCTACATACAATGCCTGGTGGACACGTGTAGCTGAACACCTTGCTGGAACTCCTGGCCCTAGAGGTAGCTAACAGAGAGTTTGGAAATTGTAACCAAACACTTTTCCTAAGAACCCCCATTTGTGTCTTTTTACAGCAATGTTTTATGGCAATGTTAATGACCATTGGTTCAGTTCATTTTACTAAGGCTGCCTTAATCATTTTCAGATGTCATAGGACTCAAAAAACAGCATCACAGTATAATTTTTTTACCTGTTTATATGCCTTCTTATTGTTTAAAGTATTTGAGGCAGTTAGGATCAGACTGTTGATGAGCCAATAGAGCACACTGACCACAATCTTGACCATGGGAAGAGAAGCAAAGTAGCCATTTATATATCATCCACCTGTTCTGCAGCAGGCTCCACACTGGATGCTGAAGTGGAACCAGCTGATCAAGAAGCTGATAGAGAAATGGTTCCTGCCTTGGAGAAGCCATAGGCTCCTAGTGCTGGGGAAAGAGAGAAGGCAGGGGGCTGGAAAGAAACATGCTCAGAGACGGTGACAGGAAAGCAGGGTCTGCTATTGACAAAGGATGCAGAAACTGCTGTGGGACGGAAGAGAAGGGTTTGGAAGGGGTTCAGGAGGTGGCCTTTACCAGCCTATAAGAAAGGAAAAAGGGAGGGAGGGTTTCTAGCCAGTGGGAGCAGTTTGAGCAAATGCAAAAAGAAACAGAAGAGCATGTGGGCACAGAAACAGCAAATAATTCAGCATGGTTGGAGAAAGTGCTGGTAGAGCTGAAAAGATAAGGTCACCTAACCACATGAATGTATGGCATACTTCTTGGTCCCTATGCTCATCCTTCTGACATGCCATGGGGCTTCCAGAACCTGATGCTGCCAGCTGCCCAGCCCTTGGTGGGCAATGTATGGTGAATGAATAACACCACCTGTTAGTACTGGCCAGGATTCTCCTGTGTTGGTGGAAGCTGCTCCCAGTCCCCTAACCCCCGTCCTGTGAAAGGATAATTTTGTGACTGCAATTATGGGAATTCTTTCAGTTGCTTCATGTAGAACTAAGCCCCCAAATTTCCTCACTGAACCTCAGCTTCAAGGCATGAAG